AGAGTGTCTGGTATTGGTCTATGGAATTGGAATTGCCTGCTCAGTTGGAGTACCCAGAGAGAGCATGAGTATCACAGAAGCTAAAACTCAGCTATGTTCGATTAGGGACAGACTTCATGCAGCTGGTTTACAAGGATAGGTAATATGCAAAAGCAATGACCTCCCTAAAAATTATTGCCTCGGCAGACCGAAATGAACCACATAAAGCATAGTCGAACATACAGAAGTGTGCCTGCACACTCAAGTACGGGGACTGAATAAAATTCATTTTCAATCTAGACCAGGAAAGGGCAATACGTATTCTCAGATATATCTGGAGGAAGAATTTCAATTTTCTGGTAATGTGGACATAGAGGTAAAGGCTTCGCCATTCAGAACCAAATGCACTGAAGGCCACATGACAATATTCTTACCATCACAAGTCATTGAAACAGCTGACTAGGAACTCCATATGTTACATTTCACGTGTACCTCTACACTTGCACTAAAACAGTCGTGCATGTTTATGTCATATCGTCGGCAAATTTGCATTATCATTGGTGGTTTATGACTCCTTTGGCGTGTTTAATTTAATACTAGTGTTAGGCTTGAAAGATCTACGGTATGATTTGCACCACCTTGACGAATATCTGTGCAAATGTGTCACAGAATAAATGTGTCACGCTAGTTTGGGATTTTTAGTGACCGAAAAAACTAATTTGGGGTAAATTTATCATAAATGTACCAATTTGAGATTTTTAGTAGTATTAACCCTATGGATTTTGCACGTCACCATACCACGTTATGTCATCCACGTTAACAAATTTAACGGTAAAATTTGATGGAAGTTAACGGAGGGTAAATATGTCACGGGTGTATGAATTTTGGGTTTTTAGAGTTCAAAAATTAGTTTGGGGTAATTTTGTCATAAGTATACCAGTTTGGGGTTTTTCGTATTATTAACCCAACACTTAAATTAGTCACACCAAAGGACTTTTCAAGTATATATCTACCAAACATCATTTCTCCAAAGTTGCTTTCCAAGACATTTTTCAATTACAGTTTACCAAATAGTCTTTACATTTCATCAAATCCTTTTATGCTAAAAGTCTTTGCATAATCCCAAAGGCTTTCCCCAAAAGCCGAACCAAATGCACCCTATAACCACCAAAAACTGAAAATTTCAAAGCATTTGGTTTCACTGTGGAACGTCATTTTGATCGAACCACCGTCTCATTCATTTCAGATTTTATTGCTTCCATGTTCATCACTATTGACCGGTCAATGGCCAACTTTGACCAACACTTTTTATCATGTTCCTCCTCCGGAAAACGCATGTACCAAAAAAAAAGGGAGGATGGATATTATTACTAATTATATAATAAACATATATACACAGAGGTCGTCACCCTATTGCTAATAAACAAAACTATTGTTAATGAGTTTCTCGGAACAATTGTCAAGTATATTAAATGACAATTATTTTAATTTTCAAGACCGAAAAATCGAAAGCCCTCGACCATACTTCGACCGAATATATGGTTTGCAACAGGAGAGAAAGGAAACCAGAAGAGGAATGTAAGAAGATTCGTGTAATTTGCAGAAGTGAAATGGCCATGGTCGGCAATTGAATGTTTGAGAAGCTCAATGTTACTGTGCCCTGGTCGCTGATCGTGGGTCTGTGTCATATGGAACATATCGACTTCCGGTCTCCTAAGTTTCCAACATGGCATGACATCTTTACCATCGTTCTCTTGTTGTGTTCCTTCAACCGAGTCTCCTTTGCTTCCAATAACGAAACTGATAGGCTTGCGTTGCTGGTGTTCAAGTCAGGAATAACTGAAGATCCTTTTGGGGTGTTCAGCTCATGGAACGACAGCATCGACTTCTGCCGGTGGTCTGGTGTTACATGTGGTCACCGGCACCGCAACCGAGTAACGGTATTGGACCTAAATTCACAGAAGCTCTCGGTGTAACAGCCCGAATTTCGACGTAAATTCCGGGATCAATAAAATTGACATTATTTCGCATTTCATTTTGGTAAGTCTCGCCCAGAGCTGATCACTCTAGGGATACTAACCAGTGGGGTATGGCTAACTGGGAAAACGGTACGTGGACCAGGGACCCGATCGTGAATCGAGCACCGATCACGAGAAATGATGAGGGAATATTTTGGGCCAACGTGGGCCGATCTCAGGAAAAGTGACAGATTTGGTTTGGCCAAGGCCAACGATGTACAATCGGATCGCAGGTGATTCTGCACGATCGAAAGTGCACGTGGCCAACCAGTCCTGAACTGGAACCGAACGATCGCGATCTCTGGGACTAGTGATAATTTCTCATTCTCTCGATGATCGGGGCCGTCATGACTCGGATAACCCTAGGTTGATACGCGTAACCCCTAAACAGCCGCCCGTTAGTGAGAGACCCTGAAATTAGAAATTTAGCGAGTTTTGGTCACGAGATTGGACCCAGATTTCTGTACCGATTTTCGAGGACTTGTACAGCTATTTTCACGATTCGGACATCATATTATACTGGCCACACACGTTTGGAGTTAGTCCGGTCGAAAAATGGAATTTCGACCCGGAAGTAAAAAATGACGATTTTGCCCCTCGGGACACCTACGTTGATTCTGAGGCCGTCTGAGGTTATTTTTCGCGGCCGATGTCATTTTAGGGTGGCCACGCGCATTTAGAGTTGTTTCGGTCAAAAATTGGAATTTTGGCTCGGAAGTGAAAAATAATATTATTTTATTCCTTAGGACTTTGCAGTCGATTTTCGAGGGCTTAAGAGGCTATTTTCGCGATTCCGACGCCATATTATGTTGGCCACACCCATTTGGGGTTGGTATAGCCAAAAATTGGAATTTCGCCCCGAGACCGGAAAAATGACCATTTTGCCCCTAGCCTATTTTTTGGTCCGAATTTTTGGGAAAATATTTGGGATAATTAAAGTTAATTATCAGCTGAATTATTGGCCCTATTTACCACTTTGCCCCTCAATTATTTGGATAAGATCAACCGAAACCGTTGGATTAAGGGCATTTTGGTCAAATCTCCCGGATCGGCGACACGTGGCGCCCTTGGCCCACCATATTTGACCAGCTTGGACCAGATTCTCTCTCCTCCTCTCTCATTCGGCCAGCTTCCTCCACCGATCAGCCCTCCTCCTCCGTTCTCTCTCTCCCTTGGTCGTTCACGTCGGAGCTTGCCGGACCGCCGCCGTGTCGCCGCCGTTCGCCAGAGCTGCTGGTCGCCGGCGCCGTCCACGTGTCCCCGACCCCACCAGCACCCCCATCCCGTCCGTTTTCTCTCTCTCTCTCTCTTCCTTGTTTTCTCTCTCTCGGCCATTGGAACGCCGGAGCTTCGCCGGACCGCCGTCCCGTCGCCGTCCAGCCGAGCTGCTGCCGCCGTGACCCTTCAGCCGTCCGTACGTCGCCGTACTTACGCGTCCGTACGGCCGTCCGTACGCCGCCGTCCGTACGTCGCTGCTGGAACGCCGCCACCGGTTCCACCGTTCACCGGTGATCGGCCGCCGTTCCTCGTCGTCGTGGTCTAGGATTAAGTGAGTGTACCTCCTAAACCGGATTAGGACTGATAGTGCGTTTTCTAGACTGGTTTGGGTATTATTAGTGAATGCTGAGAGAAATTAAGGAACCGGATGATGAAATTTGTGACTGGAATAATATCAATGATTTAATGTGTTAGTGCGAGCTGGTTGAGAATTAGGTGACTGGACTGCCAGGTATGCCCGGGTTGGCTGAATTATGATTATTGTGCCCAATTTTGGGAAATTGAATAATGACATGTCGTGTGCTCGGGTGGCCGACTCATGTGGAGTGTGACTGGCCAATTGACGGCTTGATCAAATTATTGAACTGTACATTGTGCATTGGGCCGCACGGTATTAATTGGCCAAGTGAGCACATTGTTGTGGCATAAATTTGACTGGTTGTCTACAGTATGTTTGATGCTCATGGTGCATTGTGTTGCATTTCATGGCCACGCATTGTGTATGCCGAGAATGAGGCATGTGAGGAAATTGTGCGAGAATGCGTGCCTGTCATGAGCATGCGATCACCTAAAATACCCTGAAGCGTATTACGCGGGGTTCAGATAAAATTGGCAGTGTGCCGTGTGATCACATATTGGCCTCGGGTCATGCCGTCCTCATGCACTTTGTAGCAGGACGATGCCCGGTATATCCGGAAGAAGACCATCCTCATGCACTTTGTAGCAGGCTCTAGTTCGTAAGGAGATCGGTGTTGCGCCTCATGCACTTTGTAGCAGGCTAGAGACACTGGGCCGATGGCGTTTTTACGTTGGCCATGGAGTGTTGTGAGCCTTCGGGCCGTGGTTTTTGGATCAGTTATTAATTAAAAATGGGCTGTATGCCAGGGTGTAGTGTGAGCCATAATGAACAGGGCATAATGATGACATTTACATGCATAAGAGTGCATGGGCTAATGTGCGAGTGTGCGAGACTCGGTGTTTGGCATGCGAATCAAATATTAATGAGCATGAACATGCGTGTGGCGTACGTGTGACCAGTGTGTTCGCGTATGTGCCGTGAGCATTTTTATGAACTGCCTAACCTGCAGGGTCAATTGTATGATCGATCTGGGCTCGAGGGCCTAGGTCATTGTTTGTATTTTGCATTGTTTTGCTGGTCAGGAGAATGCATGTTAGCCTAGTCTAGGTTTATGGGTTATACTCGCTGAGATTCGTCTCACGGTTGTTATAACCCAACATTTCAGACCCCCAGCCCTGAGTATGCCGAGACAGCCACCTCTTTTTGGGATCCCCACTCAGATCCATTCGACTACGAGAGTATACCCAGCTGGGAATGGGGAATCGTATGTAAGATATCATTCCGTAGTATTCGTGAATGTGGGTGAGTATTTTTATCAGACGCAAGAATATGTAACCTGGTGCCTGAAGGACGCAGACGGAAACATCAGGCGACCCCTCCGTACATTTGACGTTCCGGTAGACATAGGCAGGGTGATGATACCCCAGATGGCTGATGGCAAGGTTGTGGATCCCCCACCCGCAGACGAACCTGTGGCCATGGACCAGGAGCCAGGGGTATGGTACGAGGATCCCGAGCCAATGGCCGAGGAGGTTGAACAGGAGCCGGAGCCCATGGATCAAGACCCGGATGAGGACGGAGAGGTTGCTGAGCTAGGATCTGATGAGGAGGTAGTGTCCGAGGAGGAGTTAGATCTGTATTTGGACCTGGAGCTTGAGATAGACTCAGAGGATGAGTGGGCTGCAGCGCAGGAGATGGAGTCCGAGGAGTCTGAGCCCCCTGAGAGTTCTTCAGGGGAGTCGTCGGGTGATTCTTCGGAGTCCTCAGACCCTGATTGGGAGCCTTAGAGCAGGCCAGAGTTAGTAGGGAGGACTGTCCCTTTTTGACTGTAGTTCTCCTTATAGGTTTAGTCAGACTCACCCTAGCCACCTACCTTTTTGACCTAGTGGCTGTTGACTGTTGGTGCTGCTCGCTTTTGTTGTATAAATGGATATTGTATAAAAGTTCTCTATAGTAATATAAAATGTACATATTATCAGAATCGATGGATTGTAGTCGGGCTATCCGTTGTCTCTTATAGCTATTGTCAGGGTTGTTTATTTAATTGCTTCCGCTTGTGCTTGTTCTCTGTTGGGCGTGGGTCGGCGACGCTTCCTGGGACGTCGCACCATAATCGACCAAGGTAGGGATGTTAGCGCTTCGTAGGGTACGGGGCGTGACACTCGGGATCAATCTCCCCTCACATTGGGAACCTCAGCTTCTTGAGGGAGTCATGGCTTCAAAAAAATAGTTTTGACCATGAAATCCCTCCGCAAATTGGACGGCTGCACTGCTTACGTTTCTTAGAATCGTCCAATAACTATCTGGCAGGGGATATACCCAAGAACATAACAGGTTGCACAAACCTTATTGGCATTGGGTTGCAGAGTAACCGACTGACTGGACAAGTTCCTAGAGAGCGCGGTAGGCTGTTGAAGCTTCAGCGTCTCGTTTTAATGGTGAACAATTTGTCAGGAAGCATACCTCCAAGCATTGGCAACTTATCATCACTCGAGGATCTTTATCTCACTTATAACTACTTAAGTGGGAGCATTCCTGGGGCTCTTGGCCAACTAGCCAAACCAGACACTTACTTTGGGATTCAACATGCTTTCCGGTACACTTCTTGCTTCCCTCTTCAACTTGTCTTCATTGACTCAATTTGACGTATCCTGTAACCAAATACATGGAAGTTTTCTTGCAACCATAGGCCTCACTCTCTCATCTCTCGAATATTTTAACGTCGTCTCGAACCAATTTGATGGATCAATCCCATTCTCGATCTCTAATGCAACAAACCTACGCATACTTCCCCTGGAGGACAACAATCTTTCCGGGAACATACCTTCTCTTGAAAATCTACATAATCTTGAATGGTTTTCCATTCGCTCCAATCATCTCGGAAGTGGGGGTTCCCACGACTTGAGCTTCCTTTGCTCCTTAACAAATGCCACTAGCTTAAAAGAGTTGAATGTCATGGAAAACTGACTGGGTGGATCACTGCCTCAGTGCACTGGCAATTTCTCCATTACTCTCGCAGCATTGGGAGTGAGCGAGAATGCTATAACCGGTGAGATCCCCAGAGAAATTGGGAATCTTGTGAACTTAGAAAAGTTGTAAGTGGATGGCAACAGTCTTTCAGGTACAATCCCATTTGACCTGAAAAATCTTCGAAATCTTACGTATTTGAATCTCTCGGACAACAAGTTGTCCGGGGTAATTCCATCCTTTTTGCACAATCTAAGCAAATTGATTTATCTGTATCTTGCTGGGAATAACTTTCAAGGGCGCATTCCTTCGCATCTAGATAAGCGTCAAAGATTGATGTCGCTTGATCTTTCTAGTAACAATCTCAGCGGTTCCGTAATCCCGGTGGTCACAAGTCTCTTCTTTTTGAACTTACCCCACAACCTTCTGACTGGGGCCCTTCCCAAGGAAATAGGAGAAATGAAGAACTTAAATTATATGGACTTGTCAGGTAACATGTTAGATGGTGAGATACCAAGCAGTCTGGGAAATTGCGATGTACTCGTACTATTAAGATTGCAGGACAACCTCTTCGAAGGGTCCATTCCTCAATCCATTAGTTCATTAAGAGGCATCAAAGTACTTGATCTTTCATGCAATAATTTATCTGGTGGGATTCCAAGGTTCTTCGAGGCATTTGATTTGGAATATGCAAATTTTTCTTTTAACAATTTTGAGGGCTCTCTACCCACTGAAGGAGTCTTTCAGAATGCTAGTGCCGCATTTGTCATAGGAAACGAGATGCTCTGTGGAGGAATTCCTGAATTTCATCTCCCTGAGTGCATCTCCGGAAACTCCAAGAGCAAGCGGCTAGTCCATATACTGATACTTTCCATCTCTATCCCTTTTGGGCTTCTGGGAATAGCTCTTCTTCTTGCTTTTTTGTACTCATGTTGGTTGAAGGAGAAAAAAAAAGAGCCTATTTCGAGCCCCGTAGGTGGTACATGGCAGAATCTATCTTATGGAATTCTCCTTAAAGCAACAAATGGATTTTCTTCAACTAATTTGATTGGTATCGGTAGTTTTGGGTCTGTTTACAAGGGTACACTCGAGAATGGAACGGTTGTCGCTGTGAAAGTGCTGAATTTAACGCGCCGTGATGCATTGAAGAGTTTCATGGCTGAATGCAAGGCTCTAAAGCACATTAGACACCGGAATCTTTTGAAAATATTATCAGTATGCTCAAGCATTGATTATTACGGTAATGAGTTTAAGCTTTAGTCTACAAGTTCATGGTTAATGGCAGCCTTGAAGAGTGGTTGCACTGCCATCAAGAACCAACTGAAGCAGATGGGCCTTCAAAAACTTTGAGCCTCCTCCGTAGGATAAAGATTGCCTTCGACATTGCTTCTGCACTGGATTATCTTCACAATCACTGTCACAGCCAAATTATTCATTGTGATCTAAAGCCAAGCAATGTTCTCTTGGATGATGAGATGGATGGACATGTCGGTGACTTTGGATTGGCGAAGATCGTCCTTGAAAATACACCTGACACCAACTCAAAGATAAGCTCAGCTGGTCTAAGAGGAATGGTTGGTTATGCTGCTCCAGGTAAAGCCCCCTTGTCCTTCCCCCCTCGCAAAGAATCTTACACTTCATAATGATACAGTGGACACTATTTTCTGTTACGACTAATTTGAAATTTGGACGAAGTGTAGAATATGGGATGGGAAGTGTGGTTTCTAGAGAAGGCGATGTCTATAGTTATGGCGTGCTCTTGCTAGAGATGTTCACCGGAATCAGTCCCACGGATGAGATCTTCAAAGAAAATTTGAACCTTCGCAATTTTGTTGAGGAAGCTGTTGGTTTTTTAGTTGAGAGAGGAAAGACAACAGACTTGAGAAAAACGTATGGAAGGAAAGACAACTTTTATAACTTCAGCAAACATTACAATTTAAAGGAAGGAAAAATAACCAACCACTAACAACATGGCCCTACAAATAAGCCACTATCAACAGCACTAATAAAAATAGCTTAACCGCTTCCTAAAGACTAGGACAACCATTTAACAAACTGAAATAACAAAAACATATGCTGTACGTGGACATGTTTCAGTCCTGAAGCATATTCCTAACACTCCTCCTTGCTTTAGGAGCTGCAAACACCAATTTTCTGCTTCAGAAACTCGAACTTGCTGATTGGAAGAGGCTTTGTAAATAGATCTGCCAGCTGATCTTCAGACTTGCAATAAACCAAAGTCACAGATTCTTCTTTTTTGCACTTCTCTCAGAAAGAATAGCTTGATGTTGAAATGCTTAGTTTTCCCATGAAACACAGGATTGTGGGAAATAGCAATGGTAGCTTGGTTGTCAACAAATATCTTAGTACTTTCTTTCTGCTCAAGATTGAGATCCATTAGAATTTTCCTCAGCCACAAGGCTTGATTAACAGAAGCTGTTGCAGCAACAAACTCTGCTTCAGCAGTGGATTGAGCCACGGTTTCTTGCTTCTTTGAGCTCCAAGAGAAAACACCAGATCCAAGAACAAAACAGTAGCCTGAAGTGCTTCTCATATCATCAATGGAACCTCCCCAATCACTATCAGAAAAACCAACCAGCTTGAACTCATTGCTTTTCGTGAATTTGACACCAAAATCACTTGTCCCTTTAACATATCGAATCACTCTCTTGGCAGCCTTGAGATGCAATTCACTTGCGCAATGCATAAATCTGGACAAAATACTTACAACATTCAAAATGTCGGCCTTGTTCTTTTGAGATACATTAAGCAACCTATCAAACTCCCGAAATATCCCTCATCAACTTTATCCGCACCATCTTCTTTGCATAGCTTCTCCTTTTGATTCATAGGAGTGCTTACTTCCTTGCATTCTTCAAGCTTAAACTTCTTTAAGATCTCCTTCGCATACTTCTTCTGGCAGATGAAAACCTCATGCTCAGCTTGCTTAATTTCCATTCCAAGAAAGAATGACATTAAGCCGAGATCTGTCATCTCAAAGACCTTCATCATTTCATGTTTAAACTCCTCAACCAGCTTTGCATCATTTCCTATCAGCAAAAGATCATCAACATAAAGAGAAACTATGAGGATATCATTGCTTAGACGTTTGACATAAAGAGTGGCCTCGACATGCTTTTTCAAAGCCTAAGCTCAGCAAATGGTCATCAATTTTGCTGTACCAAGCTCTTGGAGCTTGCTTCAAACCGTAAAGAGCTTTCTTGAGAAGAAACACCTTGTCCTCCTCTCCTTTCTTCTCAAATCCTTCAGGCTGTTCAACATAAATTTCTTCCCGCAAAACACCATTTAGAAATGCTGATTTTACATCAAGTTGATATACTCTCCAATTCATTTGAGCAGCTACAAAGAAGCAGAATTCTTATGGTGTCCAATCGAGCAACCGGTGCAAAGGTATCCGAGTAGTCCACGCCAAAAACTTGAGCATAGCCCTTTACCACAAGTCTTGCCTTGTGTTTGTTGATAGAGCCATCAGCATTGAGCTTGGTTCTGAACACCCACTTGACTCCAATTACTTTTCTATCTTGAGGCCTTTTCACTGGAATCCATGTATTGTTCTTCTCTATCATGGACAGCTCCTCCTTCATTGCAGCTATCCACCTTTGATCATTTCTTGCTTCTTCATAATCTGCGGTTCACACACAGCAATGTTGCATCTTTGATAAATGTCGGAGAGCAACCTAGTTCCTCTCACGGGGACATTATCTACTATTTCATTTTGTCTTTCTTCATCTTCTTCAGTGCTTGAACCAAAGAGCTTGAATTTTGGCTCTACCACGATCTGACTTTTCTTCTTTGCATCATCCCAGTTCCACTCTTCATCCTCCACGAAGTAGACATCCCTGTTAACTATAATATTTCCAGTTTGTGGCTGGAAAATTTTATAGGCCTTGCTGACTGTACTATAGCCTATAAAAATACCCAGTAAAGCTTTTCTATCTAGCTTGTCACGCTTACTCTGTGGAATATGAGTAAAGCACAAGCAACCAAAAACTTTAAGATATTTCAGAGTTGGTTTGTAACCATACCATGCCTCATATGGTGTCTGATCTTTCATTGCCTTTGTGGGAAGTCTGTTTTGAAGAAACACAGCCGTACTTGCTGCCTCTGCCCAAAACTTCTTTGGCAAATTCTTCTCATGTAGCATGCATCTTGACATTTCCATGATGTACCTATTTCTCCTCTCACTAACTCCATTTTGGAGGAGTGTAAGGGGTCAAGCGATGCTCAATGCCCGCATCTTCACAAAACTTGTTGAATTGTACCGAAGTGTACTCCTTCCCATTATCGATCTAACAATCTGAATTTTGCAGCCACTCTCATTCTCTACTCTTGCCTTGAACTTCCAAAAACTTGAGCCACTTCGATTTGAACTTCAAAAGAAAATCCAACACATTCGTGAAATCATCAATAAAGGCAATATAATAGAGACTACCCTTTAGAGAAGGTGTTCTTTGAGGGCCCGAGACATCTCGTGTGGATCGCCTGCAGCTTCCTTGAAGCTCGCCGCTTGACTTTGAGAATGGTTTTCTATTGAGCTTGCCGAATTGACATGCCTTGCAGCTTGAAATCTGATTTTCAAATTCGGAAGACCTTCTACCATTGTATTGGATTTCATTTGCAGATCCCGTGGTGGTGGTAATGCCCGAGTCTCTTGTGCCAAATCTCGGTGACATTCTCCTTAATTGAGAAGGCTGCCGCTCCTCCTCCAATGGATTTAGAGCAAAACTTTTGCCTTTCATTCTTACTTTAAAGATTTCTTGGTTGGTTGCATCTCTAATTAGGCAAAAATTGTCTTCGAAAGCAACTTTAAACCCTTTTCCAATTAATCGACCAACACTCAACAAGTTTTGTTGAATTTTAGGAACAAAAAGAACATCAGGAATGAACTTTGTACCGAACAAGAAGTTATTGCAACGTTCCCTTGCCTTTAATCGAAATATAGTCGCCATTCCCAATTCTCACTTTGGTGATAGTGGTAGGCCTCAAATCTCTCGAAAAGCTTCTTATCATTGGTCATATGATTGGTGCAGCATCGTCAATCAGCCAGCTCTCACTTGCTTCACTCTCGCAAAACACGTGGCTACAAAAAGTTGATCCTCCTCCTCTTGATCAACAAGTTTAGCCTCTTCTCCTTTGTGGATTTTTGTTTTTGCATATGATGGCTTCATGTCCAGTTTGATTGCATTTTCTGCATTTTGCATCAGTCTTCTCCAACATTTGAAAGGTGGATGACCTTTTTCCCGCAATGTTGACAGGAGGATAGTTCCCTTTCACTCCAGCTTTCTTATCTCGGCCTTGTTTTTGCTGCCCGATGTTGAACCTTCGCCGTTGCTTGAGTCTTCTTGCTTTTTCGCCATCTAAATTTGCCATCATTTTGATGCTTGGCTAATAAGGCTCCTTCAACAACTCCCTCTTGCCTCATTACACGCCTTTGCTCTTGTGCTTGCGGTGGCACTTAAGAGTTCCCGGTGTGATCGCGGACAAGTCCTTCGTGTTTTCGAAGGTGGTTATTGTAGCCTCAAACCTTTCGGCAAGTGTCACAAGAATTTTTCGACAATTCTTGAGTCCGTCAATGAAGAACCCAGAATCGAACTCGATTGGCTATCCCGAGAAGTCCTGTTAGCATACTCCTTTATGGTCTCGTTTCCTTCATTTTCTCGCATCTCAAAATCACGGATTAGATTCAACACCTCAATTCCACGAATTTTCTCATCTCCTTCATACTGACTTGAGAAAATCCCATATCTCCTTTGCCGTCTTGAGAGACATAATTCGAGAAAAATGGTGGCTGAAATCGCGGCAAACAAGCAAGCTTTGGCCTTTGACTTCTTTGTCTTCTTCTCCTTATGAGCTTTGATATGAGCCATGGTTGGATTGGCAGGAAGTGCAGGGATTTCATAATCTTCTTCCACTGCTTCCCAAAGATCCAAAGCATCCAGGTATGTCTCCATGCGTACTGCCCATATCTGGTAGTTATCTCCATCGAATACTGGTGGAGCAATTGAAGAGAGACCAGCTTCGGCGTCCATGGCTTGTCAAACTCACACAGGTCCCTTAAGAAGAGAGCTTTGATACCAATTGTTGGTTTTTAGTTGAGAGAGGAAAGACAACAGACTTGAGAAAACGTATGGAAGGAAAGACAACTTTTATAACTTCAGCAAACATTACAATTTAAAGGAAGGAAAAATAACCAACCACTAACAACATGGCCCTACAAATAAGCCACTATCAACAGCACTAATAAAAATAGCTTAACCGCTTCCTAAAGACTAGGACAACCATTTAACAAACTGAAATAACAAAAACATATGCTGTACGTGGACATGTTTCAGTCCTGAAGCATATTCCTAACAGAAGCTTTGCCCGCACGAGTTCTAGAAATTACCGATCCCATTCTACTTCAGGGAAGAGAGAACTATGCAGGCCATAGCAGAGACAACACAGTTCAAGAGTGTCTGGTAATGTTGTATGGAATTGGAATTGGCTGCTCGGTTGGAGTACCCAGAGAGAGAATGAGCATCAAAGAAGCTGGAACTCAACTATGCTTGATTAGGGACAAACTTCATGCAGCTGGTTTACAAGGATAGGTAATATACAAAAGCAATAACATTTCTAAAAATTATCACCTTGGCAGACTGAAACGAAAAGCATACAGAGGTGTGCCTGCACACTCAAGCATAGGGACTGAGTAACATTCCTTTCTAGTCTATACTAGGAAAGATCAATACATATTCTCAGGTATACGTGGAGGACTAAATTCAATTTTCTGGTGGTGCGAAGATAGAGGTAAAGGCTTCACCATTCAGAACCAAATGCACTGGAGACCACATGAAGAAATTCTCACCATCACAAGGCATTGAAACAGCTGACTAGGAACCACATATGTTACATTTTACGTGTACCTCTGCACTTGCACTAGAACAGTCATGCTTATAGGGCTGCGTGGTTCACTAAAAGAATTGGCTTCTGACCAGATTCCCTGAATTTGTAGTTAAATTTTACATTTTTTTTTCCAGGTTTTAAGAATCAATGGTTTTTGCATTTTCCATAGGGTCATTCCACTCTGCTGGACGCCAGAGGAGTGGATTGGTGGAAGTATGCGGCGGTGGTGCTACGTGCAAAGCAAAAGCTTTTGAGAGTGGAGGTCCAACAGATCCAAAGCTTATCAGCAAATTATAGTTGTAATCCATATGGAAGGAAAGACTGCTCCTCTTTCAGCCGTAATTAAACTCCTCTATGTTTTGTTTCTCGAATGAGAATGAATTCATGCTTGTTTATTTCCAATTGCCATGATTTGGTTTCCAGTACAACTTAGCAAACAGTATGAGATATGAAGATGAATAGGCTGCTCAAAATGAATTAGCATATGTGCTCTTGATACATATGACTATCAAATAAAGGTCTTTTTAATATGCAAGTCATCAGCTTTCATTCTCCATCAGAATAGGAGACCAAACTGCCTGAACTACTCTTGTAGATCTGTTTAGCACAAATCCAGCTACGTAGTGTCATTACACATATTAGGCAGACCACGGACAGCACTTGATACCGACGAACAAATGCACATGAACCATCGACCAAATCAAAAGACATTAGGCCATAAGAGAAATTAGAGTTACACGAACACCACCTCACAAATCACTAAAAACAACCATTCCCAATGTACAAGCACCAGATTAACGCAAGTATACCGAAATTGATCTCGCTTGCACAAAGCTCACTGCCTGTTGTGGTCACAATCGACCGACGATCAGGCGATAGAAGTAACAGTTTCCAGGCACGAGCATCTGACTGAAACAGGAGAGTTCGAAGGCGTACTGCTTGTTGAGGATGTCCTCGGCCCCGTTCACAGTGAGGCAGGAGGCCACCAGGATGATGCCCTCGGACGGAAGGCGCAGGTGACGATGGCGGAGTCCTTGAACTGGAAGAAGAGCTTGCCTTGCTTGAGGGACGAACCAGTACCGGCACCACGTCTTGGTGTACTCGCCTTCACTTTCTACTTTAAATAGATACATCAACGGCATATCACCCATTAAAAGACGGTGGTGTCCTTACCGTTTCCATTTGGAGTGAAAAGCCATGAATTTTAAGTTGAACAAAATCGAAACATGAAATTATAGAATAATCAAATTGAGGCAAGACACTTCCAGAAAGTTATCATTAACCTAGTTATTTCTCCGCTGAATACTACCTCTAGGATACATGCATGCCTCATAAGAATACGATCATGCACTTCGAAGCACTCTTCAACCATGAATTTGAATCCATGAAATCATACATAAAAATGGTATAATCTTGGAGGAGAAGAAGAAGAGGAAGAGGGACACAAGGAGCAATAACAATCATCCTGACTTTTTTCCGATCCTTGGATCTATCTATAGATCCAGCAGAATGAATGAAAGAGTCCATTTGTGAAGAATACTTTGGGGTACCTCTCTTGCCCCCCCTCCTTTTTCTTTACGAGCAATATTATTAGGCATACTAAATAGTATATCAAGATTGAGACACTCACAATTATAATATGTCGTGCGATGTGAATGGATGTTTCGATGACTGGGCTTGGAAAATGAGAGAGTGGATTTGTTTGTCATCCGATATGATGATATTATCATCTAATAAATCAATCTTTGTACACTTTCTCGGTATACATAGTACATCTTTTATGGCCTAAAATGCAACTAATCCTTTCAAAAATTTCAAAATCGACAAATAGTTGGGATTCAGTCAAGAGCCATGATATCTAGTAGACACAAGTAATCTTGACTGACTTGGGTGTGATCAGAGGGCCAGAACAATGGAGACACAGAAGAGTGAAAAACAAAAAGGGAGCCTTTTTAACACTTCTTTTCCTTCCTCTCCAGAAAATACTTGTATAACTATAAACATAAAAAAAAATAGAGAGAAGAAATTTTATTATATGTATTTATTTATATAGAATCGTTAACTGAATGTCTTTTCTTAAGTTAGTAGAGATCTGTTATGGCAGTGTCGAAGATTTTGGAGCTCTATTGTGACCTTTTCAGTGATCACAGACTAGAGAAATTGTTTTGTTTTAAAAGATATGTGACAAGTGCAAAATGAAGTTACTTCATCTTAGAATCTGGAATTTGGGGAAAAAAAATCAGATCTGGGACAATTAATTATGTAAACTTCTCATTCGTATCTTGTATACTTTTATCAATTGCAGATTTGAACCTTGCTCCCTCCATACTGAATATCACACATTACGAGTGTGGTACATCCATTCTCTTATAATTTAGCCTTCACATACCATAAGATATGTTTCTTAGGTTGTCCGCTAATTGTCACTTAACTAGATGAATTGTGGGTAAAGAATTGTATTTGGATTTGCATATTTGGTCAACTGTTCATCTCTTTAGTTGGCAAATTCGACCTGCAAGTACCAATTTAATATCTAGACAACCAGCTTCCTCTCCTGGGTCTAACACTTCGGGGGCAGGAATTCGCGTGCCCTCACCATCAGGGGGTCCAGGATCAAGACCGGCAACGCCTATTAGGCCTACACTAACAACATCCTCTAGAGCCTCGAGACCTTCGACACCAACCTCTCAACCGACCTTGTCTTCAACTAAATCAACAGTGCCAGTCAAGCCCTCTGTTGTCGCTACTAAGCCTGCTGCAGGTACTTCGACCAAGCCTGCAGTTTCAACTGCAAAGCAACAAGTTCCTGCCATATCTCCGACTCCATCATGGTCAACAGCGAGATCTTCAACGCCAACTGCCTGTCCCATTGTTAACCCACCAAAACTGGCATCAAGGGCAGCAACACCAACTCGCCGACCATTTACAACGTCAACTGGTCCCACTGTATCTGGCCCTCCCACCAAAGCAGCGTCCTCTACTATTGCAAAATCTGCTTCAACAACGTCAAGAAATACAGTGTCATCACGTCGAACTTCCCTACCAGTGAAATCAATACTATGGGGTAAGTTTTGGTGTTAATGTGCTAGTGTGTATGGTGTGGGGCAAGACGACTCGGCAAAGGATAACAAAGGAACAAGGTACGGGAATTTTTATTAAATAGTTTGTATTTACGAAGGGAAAAAAGGGGAGGGAGGAGGAGCCCTGTTTTTGGTTGTTCTGCTATGTTCATGAAGGAGCACCATCCAAAGAGAGGGTGCAGGGCTAATGAGAGAGAGAAGATTATATTTTGTGCAAAAATTCCATCTTGGCGAGTTGGCCCCACGGCTCCATGTGGCTCCACGTGGCGCTTCATGAGTAGTCCGGGATCATGCTGACGTGGAGGTCCCGGACCACCTAATGTTTTCTTTCGCAACGGTTGAGAAAGCGCCCTGCCAATGGTGTCTTTTATACAAGTGGAATCTCTGTTCCTGCATTGAGTCGTGGGCATCCTAAAATGAATGACAATATGAGGCCTGTTTTGATTGGCACTAAAATGTTGGATAGGGTAATAAACATGAGGAAATTAGTGCAACCCAAGCAAGACAATAAACATTCTCCTCACAGTAACATGTTCGGAAAGTCGGCTTCTTCCCGACAGCTCAGGCTTTGGGCAAACACTATCCAATAGATCCTTGGATATGGCTGTAGGGCATATCGTATGGTCCTTTTTCTTCTTTCGCATAACGCTGTATTAGTTTATTATTTATACTGCTTGACATGGCAACTGTATCAGGATTGAAGATTCTCTCTCTCTCTCTCTCTCTCTCTCTCTCTCTATGTCTAATGTTGTTTGCCTACTTAGAGCAATGTTTAGATTGATATTATCTTATGATGTGATTTTACTTCAACTAAATCCTGGACATAAGGCGAAGCATTCCTGGGAATTTGCGACCATCGATGACGTATATCCCTGCTTCACTGTCACGCCCCGAACCCCACGGTACGCAACATCCCTACCTTGGTCGATTATGGTGCGACGTCCCAGGAAGCGTCGCCGACCCAACACCCAAACAGAGAACAAGCACAAGCGGAAGCAAATAAATAGATAACACCCTGACAATAAAGTTATGAGCCAAGGATAGCCAGACCACAACCATCACAGCTTAAAATATATACACTTTATATATTACTAACGAAAGTTGTTTTTATAATATTTACATATACAAACCAGACTTATAAAGATCAAACCAAGAACAGTTACTGCTTAACAAAAAGAGGGCTAGATGGCTGGGGTAAGTCTACTGAACCTACAGGGAGGACTACTATAAAAAAGGAACAGCCTCCACTACTAACACTCCACCCTGCACTACGGCTCCCAGACCGGATCTGAGGACTCTGTGGGATCATCTGACGACTCCTCGGAAGCATCCTCACTAGACCCTGACTCCTCTGACTCCATGACCTGGGCTGCTGCTCGCTCGTCCTCCGAATCCATCTCTAGCTCATGATCTAAATACCATCCTAACTCCTCCTCTGAACCTATCTCCACGTCCGATCCTAGTTCAGCTACTTCTCCATCCTGCTCCGGGTCTAACTCCATGGCCTCCGGTTCGACTTCGTCCTGCTGGTCTAGGGGCTCTGGATCGGCATATATTACCTCGGGCTCTGCGTCCTCCTTGTCCATAGCGACATGTCCGTCTACGGTCTCGTCCTGGAAGCTCCAATCGGGTGTAGGTGGAGGGTCTAGAATCTCACCATCCGCCATCTGCGGGATCATCACATCGATCTCATCCAAAGGAACATCAAAAGTCCTGAGAGGGAGTCCAGTCACTCCATCGGCTCCCCTATAGCACCAGGCTACGTACTCCTCGGTATGATAGTATGACTCTCCCACATTCACAAACAGTACTGAGTAATATCTCACATAGGCTGCTCCATCCCCGCAGGGGTGTACACTCGAAGACCGCTGAATCAAGTGCGGTATCCCAAAAAGAGGTGACGGTCTCGGCATCCTTACAGCTGAGGGTCTGAAAAGAGTGGGTTTATACAACAATGAGACGAATCTCAGCGAGTATAACCCCTAAACCTAGGCTAGGCTAACATGCATTCTCCTGACAGACAAACAGGCAAAACAACACATAACAGATGCAAATCAATTAACTTAGGCTCTCAGGCCCAGATCGAATGTACCACTGACTCTGCAGGTTAGGCATTTCATTATAATATTCACGGCACATACGCGAGCACACCAGTCACACGTACGTCATACGCATGATCATACTCATTAATGTTTGATTCGCATGCCAATCACCGAGTCTTGCACACTCGCGCACTAGCCCATGCACTCTTATGCATGTAAATGTCATCATCATGCCATGTTTCATACAGCTCATTTTTAGTTTGAAACCGACCCGAAGGCCACGGCCCGAAGGCTTACAACACTCCATGGCCAGCGTAAAAACGCTCCAGGCCCAGTGTCTTTAGCCTGCTACAAAGTGCATGAGGCGCAACACCGATCTCCTTACGAACCAAAGCCTGCTACAAAGTGCATGAGGATGGTCGTCTTCCGGACGTACCGGGCATCGTCCTGCTACAAAGTGCATGAGGACGGCACGACCCGAAGGCCAATAGGTGATCACACGGCACACTGCCAATTATTATCTGGACCCCGCGTAAAACGCAGCAGGGTATAATTAGGTGCTCACATGCTCATGGCAGACACGCATTCTCGCACAATTCCATCACACGCCCCATTCTCGGCATACACAATGTGTGGCCATGCAATGCCGTAAATGCAACATGAGCATCACAGATCTCACTCAAGTACTCAATCAATCAATGTCACCATAACGTACTCAACTTAGGTCATCAAATAACCAATCACACTCCGCACAATTTAGCCACACGAACACGCGACATGGTATTTCCCAATTTACTATAATTGAGCACAACATTCGATAAATCAATCAACCCGGGCATACCAGGCAATTCAGCCAATCAATTCTCAATTAAGCCATGCCAGTCCAATAATCCACTAATGGACAGTCACTATCACAGCCACTCCGAGGCCAATAATCATCCTCAATTAAATCACATTAATCCACCAATATTATTCCAGTACAAATCCCCACCACTCGGTTCACTGATTTCTCTCAATAATCACTAACCATATCCAAACCAGTCCAGAAAACGCACTTTCAGTCCTAATCCGGATTTAGGAGGTACACTCACTTAATCCAACTTCACGACGACGAGGAACGACGGCCGATCACCGGTGAACGGTGGAACCGGCGGCGGCGTTCCCACGGCGGCGACGGCGGCGGCGGCTCACGGCGGTACGGACGGGGTCCTTTGGCCGAACCGTACGGCGGCGATCCAAGACGGCTCGGGCGAAGGGGATGGTGAGTCGGCGGAGGGAAAGTAGTTTGGTGAGGGTGACGGTGGCGGTCGGTCGGCGGCAACGACACCGGCGGCGCATGGCGCGGTTTCCCGGCGAGCTCGGCAGACGGCGGTTCGGCGGTGATCCTCACGTCGAACGTGGATGGGAGAGAGAGAAAAAGGTGGGACGGGATGGTGGTGAGGCTAGGCGGCGCCAGCTACCAGCAGCTTCGGCGAACGTCGGCTCCGGTGACGGCGGCTTGCTCCGGCGTCCTTGGCCAAGAAAGAGAGAGAGTCGGCGGGAGGAGGGGGGAAACGATCGTGGAGGAGGAGGAAGTGGCCGGTGGACATGAAGAGAGAGAGTTAAAGGGTCAAAGTTGGTCAAAGGTTGGGGCTAGTGGGATCCACTTGTCTAAAATCCACCTAATGTGACCAAAATGCCCCTCATCCAAGGGCTCTCATTCAATCTCATCCAATAATGCATGGGCAAGATGGTCAATTGGTGCAATAATTGATGTTTATCCAAATTTAATTAATACCTTAATTTAATCCCCAAAATTCGGAACCAAAAATGGCCTAGGGGCAAAACGGTCATTTTTCCGGTCCCGGGTCGAAATTCCATTTTTTGCCCGTACCAACCCCAAATGAGCGTGGCCAACATAATATGGCATCGGAATCGCGAAAATAGTCGCACAAGCCCTCGAAAATCGACACCGAAGTCCGGGTCCAATTTCGTGACCAAAACTCGCTAAATTTTCAATTTCAGGGTCTCTCACTAACGGGCAGCTGTTTAGGGGTTACGCGTATCGACCTAGGGTTATCCGAGTCATGACGGTCCCGATCATTGAGAAAATGAGAAATTATCACTAGTCCCAGAGGTCGCGATCGTTCGGTTCCAGTTCAGGACTGGTTGGCCAGGTGCACTTTCGGTCGTGCAGAATCACCTGCGATCCGATTGTACATCGTTGGCCTTGGCCAAACCAAATCCGTCACTTTTCCTAATATCGGCTCACGTCGGCCCAAAATATTCCCTCATCATTTCTCGTGATCGGTGTTTGATTCACGATTTAGGTCCCTGGTTCACGTACCGTTTTCCCAATTAGCCATACCCCATTGGTTAGTATCCCTAGAGTGATCAGCTCTGGGCGAGACTTACTAAAATGAAATGCGAAATAATGTCAATTTTATTAATTCCGGAATTACATCGAAATTCAGGCTGTTACATTCACCCTTGTACAGCGTGAGATCCGAGCCTACAAGAAGTAGGACACTTAGCGAATCAGACTTTCCACTTGCGACAAGCAGCAGCGCCAGCTCTGAAGTGAGATGGGATCAACATCGGTCTCCTATGCATGGAAGGAAATGGACTGGATGATGATATCACCAGTGAGGGGGATGGTCATTCGCCTATTTGTGGCTGCTGATTGTAAGTAGATACAGTGATGAAGTTGTAGTCATCCATTGTTTTGAATTGAAACTGCAGGATCAAGTACTCTGTTTTTCTTCCTTTCCTTTTTATAACCAGTATTTGTTAGACTATTTATACATTAACGCACATATTTCGTCCATCAATTTAAACTTTCAAAACAATTGACAATGGTCCCATAAAATTTTTACATGTTATCAAAGCGGGAGGTGCTGTAAAAAACCAACATTAACATTCGCATTGATTTGTTCTATTTGGTCAAAGCCTTAAATTTATAGACATGTGTCGAGAAGGGCAATGCGAAATTTTACGATCGTGCGAATATTATTTTTCTCCATCGGAAGAATTTATGATGACTAAGGTGCACCAACAGCAGTTGATTTCCTTTGTGAACTTCCTAATATGGAAAATTCAATGCATGATATTCCGATATGTGTATGTAACTATGAATTGCTGATACAATCTTGTCCCCAAGGTCGATTATCAGGATTTTAGTTAAAAGAGGCCATGTCATTTTCTTGCAAGGAAGAGTGAGATCATCGAATTGGCCAAGGGCCAAGGTAGCATTAATAACCTTGTCCAATGGAAGAAAAAGGTCAAGCTTTCACATAGACCTTGATCACTTGCCTTCTAATTTTTCCATATGTGCTTCCCTTTCGTTTCCGAGTGTTTGAGAAATTTGATATCGACTATATGACCCCGTCTCTAAAACATGCAACTTCCTTAATGCTAACAAATGAAGCTGAGTTCCAAAGTTCTTTCAATGTTAGACGAAGGGTGTGTTTGTTTAAGTGAAAGAATTTTTCGCCAATTAGTTTTCCGGACTTTCACATGTTTGGGTTGCTGAAAATTGTCGGTCAACAAAAAACCATTTACGGTCAAAGAAAACATACATGCTTAAAGTTAGGAAAATGAATTCTCTAACCTGAAAATGGGAAATTAAATAGTTTCTTGAAAAACGATTTCTCGAAAAGCATTTTTCTTTATCACGAATTTTTCCCTAAAACAAATACACCCTAATTAATTTGACACCGTGCTCTCATAATTTCTAAGACAAGTGATCGTGCAGGGGACGGCAAGAGAACTAGTCAGTGTTCCATTAATGGTCTTGCCTATATTCCTACGTATGGTCGGGGGTAAAAAGATGAATCATCATGCAATACGAAGACTAAGAATGTTTAATTTCCTGAACCACGATCTTTCGACCATCATGACACCAGGTGGCCGATGTCCCTATGAAGGAAAGTATAGCCTTTCTTCCCTTAGAAATATTTCTAGCCGGATTGTCTTTTTTCTACATTCTTTTCCTCCTTTTTCTTAATGGCCCTTTACTTTTATGATGACCCAACAGAAGTCTAGCAAAGCGAATAAAATAATCAACCAAACAGAAAGAGAGCACTCCATTTTTCCCGATTGTATGTTGAAACAGCACTCGCAGGATAAGGAATCCACGCAGAAAAGAATGTGGTGGTGTTTTTCATCTCTCTAATCATTCAAAAGAAAATTGGTTCAAGCGAGGGTTCAGTGGTGGACTTGAATGTGGTGATATGATTAAAAGATAAGAAGAATGTTATGTCGTGTGTTATGTGGTATTGAAGATATGTTTGAATATTAAGTCGACGAAGAAGATAATTGTTGTGTACTTTAGAGTAGTGATAGGACTCTTTGTTTAATTTAAGAAAAGTTATCGATTTTCCATTTTCAATTTCCAAAATCGATTTGTTAGGTAAGAATTCTCATAACTTGTTTTCATTGAATCCACTAGAAAGTGTTTTATCATTTTTAGCTTGACTTTCTGAAAACTTTGGAAACAATTCTTTAGTTGTTTTCAAACCAAAACACGGGGTAGTAGTGGTGGACTCGAGTCAATCTGCCACTAATCTTTCTACTTTATGCAAACTATAGCACGCTCCTTCCGTAATAATTTTCATTTTTCTTGGTGTGGAACATCAATTTCAGTCGATGTCTGTTTCATTAGCTTTTTATTTTAATTCTGCCGTAGAGAGAAGCCTAAGACGAATGCTACATCTTTCTTGTTTTTCAGTTTCTTCAATGCGCTACCTATCTTGCAGAATAACCAACCATAGAGGTAATCAATCAGTCTGAGTACTTAGCACCCAACTTGTCCACTCACTTATGCCAAGTGGATGCAGATAAATGACTTTTGAATCCAAAACAAGAGTCTCTCTCCAAAATCCTCACCCTCTATAAATCTCTTGTAAATGAGGTGGCTCAACCACACCTGAATTACTCATCCCATCTCTCATCCGTTCTTATTCTCCCTGCTTTGAGTCATGGAACTCGTAGGCTTTAGTTTTGCAAAGTTACCATTTCATCGCTTCGTTATTTCAATTGCGATTGCATTGTGCTTTGTTCAAGTCTCCTCGGCATCAAATGAAACTGACATATCCGCATTGCTTGCATTCAAAGCTGGGATAACTGAGGACCCTCTCGGGGTGCTTAGCTCCTGGAACAACACAGTCAACCTTTGCCAATGGTACGGTGTTACATGCAGTCGCCGGCACCATAACAGAGTCACCGTGTTGGACCTCAATTCCCAAAAAATCTCTGGGTCCATCTCCCCTCACATTGGCAATCTCAGCTTTTTAAAGGAATTGTCTCTCTATAATAATAGCTTTTGCCACGAAATCCCTCCTCAAATCGGGCAGCTGCACCGTCTTCGTCTCTTACAGCTACACAATAATTCATTGGCTGGTGAAATTCTCAAGAATATATCAGGTTGCTTTAACCTCCGTCGTGTCAGATTGTCTGGAAACCAATTAAGTGGAAAAGTTCCTCCAGAGATACGTTCTTTGGTGAAGCTGCAGAGTCTTCGTTTAACACGAAACTATCTAACGGGAAGCATCCCTTCTTCCATTGGGAACTTATCATCGTTGGAGGATCTTCATCTTCGAGAAAATTACTTAGGCGGGAGTCTTCCTCAGGCTCTAGGCCAACTGACCAAACTAACAACACTTGCTTCGGGAGGAAACCGGTTGTCAGGTACTGTTCCGCCTTGCCTCTACAACTTATCTTCATTGGTAACAATTGACCTAGGAACTAACCAAATCCACGGAAGTCTTCCCTCTACAATGGGCTTCGGTCTCCCCAACTTGGAATTTTTCAGCATCTACGGTAACCAGTTTGTTGGATCAATCCCTCTATCGACACCTAGTAATGCCACAAACCTAAACACACTTCAATTGGGACACAACAAACTCTCGGGGAACGTACCTTCTTTAGAAAGTTTGCGAAACCTTCAACGGGTGAGCACTGACGCTAACCACCTTGGAAGTGGGGGATCTGGTGACTTGAGCTTCCTTTGCTCATTGACCAATGCCACTAGCTTAACCTACTTGAGTATTGTAGATAACATATTCGGTGGGCGGTTGCCGGAATGCATTGGTAATTTCTCCATTACTATCACAGTATTGGCATTGGGCATAAATCCTATTATTGGTGAGATTCCTAGAGCAATCAGCAATCTTGTGAACTTGGAAGTCTTATGGATGAGTCACAATATTCTTTCAGGTGTTATCCCGTTTGAGGTGGGAAATCTTCAGAATCTAACATATCTGAGTCTCTCTAATAACAATCTATCAGGTGTAATTCCATCCTCTTTGCAAAACAAGAAATTGATCAGATTATATCTTGAAGGGAATCGCCTACACGGGCACATTCCTTCACAAATAGATAAGTGTCAAAGTCTGATGGAGCTGGATCTTTCTAACAATAATCTCATTGGTTCCATATTCCCAGTAGTTAAAACTCTCATCTATTTGAACTTGTCTCATAACCATTTGAATGGGGCCATCCCAGTGGAAGTAGGACAAATGGACCATTTAAATACTTTGGACATTTCATGCAATATGTTCGGTGGTGAAATTCCGAGCACTCTAGTCAATTGCGATGGACTGGGAGCACTAGTAATGAAGGATAACCACTTCCAAGGATCCATTCCTCAATCAATTAGCTCATTAAGAAGCATTGAGTGATTGGATCTTTCCAATAACAATATGTCAGGTGAGATTCCGAAGTTCTTAGAGGCATTTCACTTCCTGGAAATTCTGAATTTATCCTATAACAATTTTGAAGGCATGTTACCAACCGAAGGAGTCTTCAAGAATGCGAGTGCCACTTTTATTGCTGGAAACAACAAGATATGTGGAGGAATTCCGGAATTTCGGCTCCCTAAATGCATCTCTAGAAGCTCCAAGGGCAAAGGGGAAGCTCGTAAATTGAAACTCTTGCTCTCTATTATTTTTGGGCTTCTAGGGGCGGTGCTTGTTCTGGTTTTTGTGTATGTATGTTGGTTGAAGAAAAAGAAAGCACAAGAACCAACTTCAAGTTTCATAGCTGATAGCTGGCAAAACTTATCTTATAGAACTCTCCTTGGAGCAACAGATGGGTTCTCTTCAACTAATTTGATCGGTGTTGGCAGTTTTGGATCTGTTTACAGGGGAATGCTCCAGGAGAATGGGACTAATGTTGCTGTGAAAGTGCTTAATTTAACGCGTCATGGTGCTTTGAAGAGCTTCAAAGCCGAATGCGAGGCTTTAAAGCGTATCAAACACCGTAATCTTTTGAAAGTACTATCAGTATGCTCAGGTACTGATTACAACGGAAATGACTTTAAGGCTTTGGTCTATGAGTTCATGGTCAATGGTAGCCTCGAAGAGTGGTTGCACTCTTCTCCAATACCAGCTGATGCAGATGAGCCTTCAAAAAATTTGAGTCTCATCCAAAGGATAAAGATTTCCATCGACATTGCTTTTGCATTGGACTATCTACATAACCAATGCCACAGCACCATAGTTCATTGTGATCTAAAGCCAAGCAATGTCCTTTTAGATGCTGAGATGGTTGGACATGTTGGTGACTTTGGATTGGCAAAGATCGTCCTTGAATCCACATCTTACATGAACACAAATATAAGTTCAATTGGTTTGAGAGGAACAGTTGGTTATGCTGCTCCAGGTATGGCCCCTTACATCCCCAACCCCCTCAAATGAAGAATTTGTTTATCCCAAAACTGTTGATGCATCTTTTCATAACAACACTCAAAACTTCATAATGAGATTGTGCACCAACTATTTTCTCATAGCTCAACCATTTGTGGTTATTTATAAGTGCAGAATATGGAATGGGAAGTGTGTTTTCTATTGAAGGCGATGTCTATAGTTTTGGCATCCTCTTACTAGAGATGTTCACAGGATTCAGTCCTACCGCTGAGATATTTAAAGAAAACTCGAACCTTCATAATTTCGTTAAGGAAGCTTTTCCTGAAAGAGTCCTAGAGATTATCGATCCCATTCTAGTTCAAGAAGTAGAGAGTGATGCATGCCAAAGCAGAAAGAGCACAATCCAAGATTGTCTGCTAATGGTCTATGGAATTGGGATCGCCTGCTCAGTTGCAGTCCCAGCAGAGCGAATGAGCATCATAGATGTAGCAGCTCAACTATGTTCAATTAGAGATAGACTTAACACTGCTGGCTTACAAGGATAGGTGATCCACCAAAGCAGTAAGTTTTCTAGTACCTCGTTCAAATGCCTGACTGAACCATTTATGTGTAGACAGCACGTTACTACTCGCATGTTTTTTTCAATCTAGATAAACTCAAGTTTCTGGTAATGGGAAGATGAAGCCATGGAGGTAACAGAGTCATCATGCAGAACCAAAGTGGGACAGATGCTATTCTAATGTATCGTGAAATTGGTCGTGAGGTTGGTGAATTCAGCTCTGATATAGACTATAAATAGTTTAGACCGTGAAGAGCAAAGGTTTGTTTCAATGTTCCTTTTGAAATGAAAGTTGGCGTGTGAGAAGAGAACAAAGTATTTGGAATGTTGCTGTTTTCTGTCAGAGCTACTGTATTTTTGGAAACTTGAAAAGAAAGGCGTACATGCAAGCCTGTATATGTTTCATAAAGCTATGCAAGCAAGTTCATTAATCCTTTTCTTCTTTTATGCTAGTTAAATAGTCTGATCCATTAATACGAGTAAACATCATGCTTGGACATCCCACGCCATGTCCACGTCTATAAAAAAGGACAACTACATGAGTTTTCCTGGATATTAGTGTGGACAATGCAAACTGGAGTCCTACATTACCTAAATGCTCCATTTGGGAGAGCAGATTACGTTATTCCATCGTCTCACCAAGCGGTTAGTAATGACTTTCAGAGACAAACAGAAATCTAGTTTTGAGTGAAACAGCTATCAGGCGCCCAAATAACTTGCAAGTAAAGATAGTAGTCACCGTCAATGTCGACGCTATCACTTTCATGAGGAAGACCAAACCATCATAATCAAGTTCAACAAATGGAGGAAATGAACATATTTTCTCTCAGTACTTGGAATTTTGAAGACATTTCAGTCCACTGCACGGACCAAAAAATTGAAAAGTCGACTGGTCGGGATACTACTCCTCGGCCATAGACAAGGAGAAGTAGGAAAACCACCACTATATCCATATGTCCACCGCTCATGATTTTTGTATTCATTTTAATATCTTGGAAACTTCATCTTAGAAAGCGTAGAGGTCTCTCTTCCAGATCTCATTCTCAATTTTTAATACCGCGGACCTAGACAACAGCCTTTCAGGGAACATACCTTCTCTTAAAAATCTACATAACCTTCAATGATTTTCAATTTGCTCCATTCTTAATAGAAGTGGGCGTTCCCATAACTTGAGCTTCCTTTGCTCCTTAAAAGAGTTGGATGTCATGGAAAATAGACTGGGTGGGTCACTGCCTCGGTGCATTGCAACTTCTCCATTACTCTCGCAGCGTTGGGAGTGAGCAAGAACGCTTTAATCTGTGAGATCCTGGGAGAACTTGGGATCTTGTGAGCTTAGAAAAGTTGTATGTGGATGTCAACACTCTTTCAGGCACAATCCCATTTGACTTGAAAAATCTGCAAAACGTTATGTATTTGAATCTCTCAAACCACAGTCTATCCGGGTTAATTCCATCCTTTTGCAAATTCTAAGCAAATTGATTTATCTGTATCTTGATGGGATCAAGGGCGCATTCGTCTGCATCTAGATAACTTGATCTCTCTAGTAGCAATCTTAGTAATTCCACGTTCCCGTTAGACACAAGTCTCTTCTATTTGAACTATCCCCCAACCATCTTCCCACGGACGTAGGAGAGATGAAGAACTTAGGTTATATGGACACATCAGGAAACATTCAGTCAGCGGTGAAAGTTTAAAGTGCTTCGCTAACAGTGTACTCACTAATTTTGCCAACTCTATACCCACGTATGTTGTGGAACCTTGCTGATTTTGCCAACTGTATACTCACGTATGTTGTGGAACCTTGCTGTATAATATGGATGAAACTAAACTGCGAATTACTGTTGTTGTTTTGGATGGCAGGGAATAGTGAATCAGCTGTATGATGTCATTTATGAATTTAATTTTTCACTCCCACCAGACTATGCCTTGGTGATAAGAGATCTAGGATCACTAGAAGGGACCGCGAAACTTTTAGACCCTGAATTTAAAGTTGTTGAGAGTGCTTAAACCTTTTGTCATTGGGAGGCTTCTGGCATACCCTAATCCTGATATGAGAAGAATTTTGCGGCAACTTGTCATTCGGAATGATGGATCTATAAGGTGGAATCGGTTAGAGCGACTGGTGGGCCATTTTGCCTTGTCCCTTTTTTTATCTTGCAAGATCAATTTAGGACATGATTGCATACTGTTGGAAATGTATACTGCTTCTCCAGTTGCATCCGAATGTGAAATTTTTCTATGGTATTTGTATCGCTTGATGTATCTTTTATTGGGAATGTAAGGACCCCGGGGGTTACTACTGTGTAATATTGTCCGACTTTAAAACGTGTTACACAGAGTAGAGAACCCAAGCCTTATCAATTAGTCCAGGACTCCCCCTCTCGGTAATGTGGGATGAGAGACATGCGCTTAGCCTCGTCCTGCGCACGTCCAGGATAGTGGTGCAGCCTCCCTTGCCATCCTGTGCTCGCCACCTAGGGTCTGGGTCGTCACATTCTCCACCCCTTACAGGCACAACGCCCTCGTTGTAGCCTCACACTTGTCCGGAGTCGGCTCTGATACCACTTGTAAGGACCCCGGGGCTACCATTATGTAATATTATCCGCTTTGAACCCACTGACCCTCACGGCTTTAAAACGCGTTACACAAAGTAGAGAACCCCAAGCCTTATCAACTAGTACAGGACTCGCCCTCGGCGATGTGGAACAAGAGATATGCGCTTAGCCTCGCCCCGCGCACGTCTAGGGTAGAGGCGCAGCCTCCCCTGCCATCCCTCATCCTACGCCCACCGCCTAGGGTCTGGGTCATCACAGATAAAATGAATCCTTGGACCTACATGCTGGCCGGGCTGCTGTCGCTTATTCTCGTAGTTACTATAGTGAGAAGCACATTGTTGCATTCTTTGCCGCTTTTATAAATTCGCCTCTATTTGCAATTTTATGATCAATTTGGAACCTGAAATATCACCTGTAACTGAATGTTCGCCTGGTGAATCGGTTTTAGTTTCTGAGGCAATATGCTGCATACCGTCTGTCATGTACAAGATATATTTGAAGCTGTTTGGGTCAATTATATACGCCTTGATTCTTTCATCTTGTGTCATTGCTTGTAGGAATTTTCGCCTGCATAAATTGCTAATTACTGCCCAACCTTGCTGAAATATGAATGCCTCTTTCTCTTGTTTCAGATTGTAGCAATATCTGAACAGGCATCCAAGTCTGCGGGGGACTCCAAGAGCCCCGGAGAAAGCTCAAACCCTCTGGGCTGGAAATCTTTCGACATGCGTGCTGTTGTTGCTGCTACTGAGGATCTTTTGCTATTCATTCTGCCTGAAAAGCGCCTGAGGGTGCGCATTTCCTCCTTTGGGACATAATTAATGTAACAGCCCGAATTTCGATGTAATTCTGGGATCAATAAAATTGACATTATTTCGCATTTTATTTTAGTAAGTCTCGCCCAGAGCTGATCACTCTCGGGATACTAACCAATGGGGTATGGCTAACTAGGAAATGGTACGTGGACTAGGGATCCGATTGCGAATCGGACATCGATCACGAGAAATGATGAGAGAATATTTTGGGCCAACGTGGGCCGATCTCAGGAAAAGTGACGGATTTGGTTTGGCCAAGGCCAACGATGTACAATCGGATCGCAAGTGATTCTGCACGACCGAAAGTGCACGTGGCCAACCAGCCCTGAACTGGAACCGAACGATCGCGACCTCTGGGACTAATGATAATTTCTCATTCTCTCGATGATTGGGACCGTCATGACTCGGATAACACTAGGTCGATACGCGTAAACCCTAAACAGCCGCCCGTTAGTGAGAGACCCTGAAATTGGAAATTTAGCGAGTTTTGGTCACGAGATTGGATCCGGATTTGGGTACCGAATTTCGAGGACTTGTACAGCTATTTTCACGATTCTGATGTCATATTATGCTGGCCACACACCTTTGGGGATAGTACGGTCGAAAAATGGAATTTCGACCCGGAAGTCAAAAATGACGATTTTGCCCCTCGGGACACCGACGTTGATTCTGAGACCGTCTGAGGTTATTTTTCGCGGCCGATGTCATTTTAGAGTGGCCACGCGCATTTAGAGTTGTTTCAGTCAAAAATTGGAATTTTGGCTCGGAAGTGAAAAATAATATTATTTTATTCCCAGAACTTTGCAGTCGATTTTCGAGGGCTTAAGAGGCTATTTTCGCGATTCCGACGCCATATTATGTTGGCCACACCCATTAGGGGTTGATATAGCCAAAAATTGGAATTTCGCCCCGGGACTGGAAAAATAATCGTTTTTCCCCTGGGCCGTTTTCGGGTCCGAATTTTTGGGAAATTATTTGGGATAATTATTAAGGGTCTTCGGCTGCATTATTGGCCTTAATTACCCTTTTACCCCTCAATTTTTGGATAGAGACGAACGAGGACCGTCGGATTAGGGGTATTTTGGTCAAAACTCTCGGATCGGCAACACGTGGCGCCCTTGA